CAGCCCGTAGTTTAGCATCGTCGTTCTCCAGCATGTACACATATGAAGCCCTCATTGCAAAAGCGTGCTTGCCACACCTCACAAATGATAGATGCTGTGACAGATATCACTGCAGATAAAAATCTTAGCTGTGTAAAAGTATGAGAAACCATGTAAGAAAAGTATCAGTAAGGCAGAACGAGATGGTATACATACAGGTTTTTATAATCCTCATGTCTGTGAAACACTCCTTTTTAAAAGGAAGCTGAAACATGGGTGAAGCTATGAACATGTGAGTATACAACGCATCTCATACACTGTATATGCACATTAGCTTCTTGGTTAGTGACAACTCCCAGAGAGGAACTAATTATAAATTCATCTCTCAGATTGGGGCTGGGAAACACTGAAATAATGGCTCCTCCTCTGGACCAGTACTGAACAGCAGTAGTTTAAGATGGATGTAGCCCAGCCACTGCAGGCCAGTGCTTCAAGTCTCTGTCCAGATTGCAGTAAATGGGGTAAGTTCTACAGTTTAAAACCTGTAAACATAATGATCCGGAGTCAAACCACAGTTAATTAGCTTGGGAGTAAAGCCTGACATGGCTTGGGAGAAAGCTGTCCACCACTTCCCTGGTCTTCTACTTGGGACCAAATTTGCATGCAGAAAGATGAAGAAGAAATGTCAATATGTATAGTGAGTCCTGTGGAAACAAAAGTTGCATTCACTTTGCCACTTGGAATGTTGGATCTGGCCCTTGAGCATTTAAACCAGGATATTAACCACACTTTAATTCTGGTATTTCAGATAGAGCCACAGCAAAAATGGCTGATTTTCAAAACATGAAGTTGACACAGATGAGAAATCCAATTCAGTGCTGATGCCGACAGATGCAAGTGAGGTGGAAGCTAGTGGGAACTTACATCAAAGGTAAGTTTTGGCCAAAGCCTGCACTGAGAATTAACACCCATACTTTCTGATGCATCATTCCAATATATTTGGTTTGGAAAAAAAATATTTTGATGTAGCTAAGTGTACAAAAGGGCAGATGGAATCTAGCAGACAGGTTAGAAGATAAATAGTAGGATCTTTTTTAGCTCCTACAGAAGACTCCCTTTGCAAAAGCTGTGTAATCTGTGTCTGCCTGAGTTACCCCACCTCAAATTATGGAGTTAAAAATATGTTACGTAATAAACAAAAAAAATTAATTAATGCTGAAAGACACTTTGTTGGTTTTAATGTTATTATTTTTAAAAATTATGGTTGTATTAAAAAAGTGTCTTTTAAACTTGTATAGTATAAAGTTGCCTTAAATCAGCCTCTGTATTGAAGCAGATAGCAGTTGTGCTATTGCATATGAATACACTTGAGCCTGTACTTGTTGATTCAAAGATCAGATAAGCTTTTTTTGGCTCAGCTAGCAGTCTTTATAAGGCATATCAGCTTGAAAGCTTTAATGCAAGGAGCATATCAACTGGACAGGCTGTGCAAGAAAATCCCATGCACTGCAAATTAAGGTGCTATTTTATTTCATCGTTTTCCTTCTTGAGACACTGATGAAAACAAATGAAAAAATATGATAGTTCAACAGTTAATCAAAACACATTTCTAAAGTTAAGGTATTTTGAACATTTAAATTTGGTTGTGCTTAACACATATAATACTTTATATGCCTTCCTTATTGGTAAGTGAATAGGCTGTCCCTTACCACATGGTGTAACATTTAGATCTGTCAAATGCTTTGATTCAAGCACCGTTATGCTTTCCCACCAGGAACGTTGCTGATTATGGTGATTCTCTTTGTAGCAAGGCAGAGTTCTTTTATGGCTCTTTTTGTCTTTTGGTGAGCTGTCTGGAGGGATCACTGGTGGCAACATACAAAGTTCTGCCTGCTTTCTTCCTACTACTCTTCATAAATATTACCAAACACACCTGTCTTACATTTTTCCCCTTACAGCAATTTCATTGCTAACCTGAAGTGAAACCTGAGTGGGAATACTTTCAACTAGTGCAGAAGCATCTGCTGATTCATCAAACATTATGATAGAGTATGCTTCACTGAAATTAATGAATATGTGTGTTTTTATAAGCATTACTGAAGGCGCTGGTCATCCGGAATTTGAAAAATTTCTATCACTATTTATTTGTTTCATGAAGAAGCAGAATATGGCTTGAAACAGTTCTGAAATGAGATATAACTGGGGTTTTTTAGCAAAAGATCTGGAAGAAATACAAACAGTTTGTATGTGGAATGGGAACTGTGAGGAGACCTTCCTTGAGGCAGGCTGTCCCACAACTTCCTGTTACCTTCTGCACCCTTCCTGAAGCACATAGACTTGCCTGCTGCCAGCACAAACACCCTGGAGAGCTGGCCAAAGGGACAGAGCGCAGTTGGGAATACATGTGTGCATTCCTCTGGGGTCAGCTGCCACAGGTCTGCCTTCTCCTAGAAGAAATTTGCCCATCTGAGATGTCCAGGTTTTAGGAACATGTAGATTACCAGGTAGAAGATGACAACACTAATTAACAATATTGAAAAATCATCTTTTTCTGACTACCATGCTCCATTCCTGGAGAATGCTTTGATACTATGCCTTCGGATGCCTTTCTCCTTCTGGTCTCTTTAAGTAGAAGACATGGTCTCAGCATTTTTAGATCCACCACATCTTGCTGGGTGCACAAATGTAGGAAAGTAGCTGGAATGTGTTTGGAAGCCCCCAGACACAGACCTAATCTTAAAAGCATGTCCATATACTTGCAGGCTGAAAGTTAAACTAATGAAAATAGTTTGTCATAGATTTCAGCACATTTTTTACAGGCAATCTCAAAGCACAAAGGAAGTTACTGTGGTTAGATTGTTCATCTTCTCCCCATTGTCCAACCTCTGCAGCTCAGTTGTGACTCTTCTCAAGGCTTATTTGCTCTGTAAAATTATCTATGTACAATCCTACAGCCAGTATAAAGGATTTAGTTGCAATCAAGGAAAGTTATTTAATCTGAAATAGATGAAACAGTAAATTGGACTGTATAAACGTTTTATACACAATAATTATTGGTGTCAATTGTGCAAAAAAGTCTTCCACAGAACAAATAAGTAAACATTTTAATACAGAAGTTAGCATATCTAGGCTATTAACTATTAACAGGAATATATATTAATATTGATAATATGTCTTGTTCCTTTTTTGTTCTTTGGTAGGTAGACTGGATCTTCACTCCTTGTGTTGGTGGCACTCTCTTTAGTCTGCATCTTGCCCAACAAAGGCAGTGAAGTGCAATCCTTTGTCATGTTGATTCATTCAGTAGCCCATTCCGTTTCAAGCAAATGGCCATACACCAATTTGAGGATTATGACTCAGTCTTCTGGTTTCCTTTTGATTTAAATGATAGTGTTAAAAAAAGTTCCAAAGCTGTGCTTCAGACAATACTAACCACAATTAAGATTCTAAATGTCCAACAATACACTGCAGTGGTTTCTCCTAAAGGAGGCACGGGAACCACAGCTAACACTACACTGTCTGCCCGCAACTTGGGAAGCAGGTTGCCCTACCCAGTGACAGATCCATTTCAGAGCTCTCACCAGACCTTCTGCCATGATCAGTGCCATCAAAATAAAGCGTAATTCAAGTCACTGTAATTCATGAAGAGTTTTAAATGACGCTTCTCACGTGAGAGAACTAGTAGTTGTCCATACATCCGTGTGCAATAGCCTTGCTTTGCTCCAACTTTCAGGTGGCATTGGGATAAACTGGACTTCCCTGTCCATCCAGGCCTCCAGGGGTTGACATAGCTCCTCTTCTTTTCCCAGTGGAGGTGATTCCTGCTCCCAAACACCTGGTTTTGGTGCAGCAGCTCTGTGGAGTACCTAGTGATGGCCAGTGTGCCTCTCCTGTCCATAGGGCTGGGATCGCAGCAGCCAGGGCAGTCCAGGAGCTAAGCAGATGGTGACTCACTCAGGAGGAGGAGTGTGAGCTGTGCTCAACAAGACTAAGTGACAAGTGACAAAGGTGCTGGTGCACTGGAGAAGGGAGAGGCAAATACCATCTGATCTGCTATCTGCTGTGAGGAAAGCTCACAACTCAGGTGGAGCAGGTCCCCTCCTGCCCCTCAGTGGGCAAACCGATCCCGGGGGTGTCATGCAGCCATCCACACTATGCAGAGAGTGTGGAGAGGGAGGGTGAGAGACAAGCTGGCAGGAGGAGATAAGAAGCAAAGGGTGTGAGCAGCAGCTGGTGCCCTCGCACCAGGAAGGGGGTTCGTTGGGGCTGAAACGCAGGGTGCCGAATGGATGCTCCTTCTGCTGTAGCACCCAGCAACGCTCTGGGCAGGGAAAACCTCTCTGCGCCATGGAGCGAACACACAGGCCTTGGTGTAGCAGATGAGGGGAGAGCGTGGATGGCGCCTGGAGGAGGCTGGTCAGGGAAGTGCCACCAGCCGGTGGGGCAGGGAGGTAGCGAGGTCCCGTTGCCGTTGCTGGTGTTATCCGTGCTGGGAGGAGAAGGGACTTTAGCGGAGGCTCCTTGCAGAAGCAGAAGAGCCGGTACTTCGGTGCGCACAAATGGATGTAACGCGAGCGTGGCGAGCGCCGGTGCCTCGGCATGTCCGTCAGGAGCGAGTGAGAGGGGGGAAGAGAGAAGGAAAATCCAAACTGCTACAAAGCGAGCAGTAAGAACTGCCTGAATTTATTTTTTTTTTTTACCCCGTCTGGTAAAAAAATAACCAAACCAAATCCTATTTGAAAATAAAAAGCCCAGTTAAATCAAGAAGCTCCCCATCGCCGCCCCGCACACTCGGTGAGGGAGGAGCGGGGTCCCCGCGCCGCCCCGCACCTGCTCGCGCCGGGGGCGGCGGGGCGCCTGCGCGGCCGGGCCGTGCGGGGCCGTGCGGCCGCGCACCCCGCGGGCGCCGCCGGCGGGCAGCGGGACGGCGGCCACGTGACGCCGCCGCTCGGCTCCCTGCGCTCGGCTCCGCACCGCGCCGGGCGCTGCGCACCGAGCTGCGGAGCCGCCGCCGCCCCCCGCCTCCGCGCCCTCCACCCTGCCCGCGGGGCACGGGAGCCGGTGACGGGAGCGAGGCGGAGTCTGGAGGGAAGATACCGAGAGATAGAGATTTAAATCACATCCCCGGCTGTAGAAGGGGCAGCAGCAGCAGCAGCCCCGGCGCAGAGGTACGGACGCACGCGCCGAGACAGGTCTGCCGGCTCCGCCGCTGCTGCTGCTGCTCATCATGGGTGCCGCCGCCGCCGAGCCCCCCAGCGCCATGGGCCTCGTGTCCAGCGTGGTGAACGACACCCTCGAGTTCTACCGCTGGACCTGGAGCATCCGAGGTAACGCGCCAGGGCGGCCTCGGCCCCGCCATCGCCGTGCCCGGCGCCCCCCGCCCGCTGCCACTGATGCGCAGCGGCTCAAAATGGCTCCGTCTCCGGGGAGACGCGGAGCGCGCTCCGGCTCCCCGGGACCCCCCGCACCCGCCTCTCCTCCTCGCCCTTCTGGGTGAGCTTGGGTGCTTCGTTTGTTTATCCGCCGTAATCCCGGGTAAGGGCCCGGGGTGCGCGGGGCATCGCGTCGTGGCAAGGTGAGGGTGTCCCTCGGGCGCCCGCGGGCTGGACGGAGCGAAATCCGCTTCCCAGAGCCGTGGCTCCTCTGGTTCCCTCTCGCCGCGGTGTGCCTTGGGGTGGTCATACGGGAATCTGATGCCGGAGGTAAGCGAGGCCCTCCGGTACTTCGTGCCGGAGCTCAGACGGCCTCCGGCTTCTGCGGCAGGTGCCGTGCCGGCAGAAGCCCCGTGCCGGCATCGCGTGGAGTTAAGCAAACGAAATGAGGAAACGATTATTACCGTCAATGCTGAAGCTTTTTGTTTTATATTAAGTGTGTTTGGGTCAGTTTTGCTGTTTTTCATTTTTAATATGCTCCATTTCTGTAATTGCACTCCACGACTGCAATGTGGAAGATGCTGAAGGAAGAGAGAATGTCCTGGAATATGGAGAAATGTGAAAAAGCAGCTTTCAGTGTTGGAACAGTAAACGAGGTGGTAATTTGCTGCAGTGACTAGTAGCTCTGGGGGTGTTATTGGTCAGCGTGAATGGCTCTGTCTCGTTGGTCAAATGAAAGGAGTTGCAGCTTTCATAGCTCATATTGTGAGTAGGCATGGGCATTTGACAGAAGGATCACTTCTCTGGATGTTTTCCTCATTTTTTTAGTTGTCCACGCAGTGATGAGGTCTAGGCTATTTTGATTTAAACCTAAAAACACATGGAGCAAAACCAGAGTGAATGCAACTATGGACGTGTTTTGTGGCAGTATGGTGAGTGGAAATGTGGGGCCTTCATTACAGATGGGGAGCTCACTGCATCAGCAGTCTTTGCTTTTCCACCCCCCTCCTTTCTGCCATCTGTCAGATAATAAATTAATTTTATGTTATAGATGGAAGGAGCTCACTTTTTTCCACAATTTGCCTTCCCATAACATAGGTGTTTTGCCATATTTTAAAAATTAAGCCTACATGCGTATTTTTCTTTTCTGTATTTAACAACTACCAGAATACGAGAGCAAATAAAAATGCTTGCAGCAGCACTGCATTGTAATTTACCAGTGTTTGCTCTCTTTCTCTGCCTCTTGCAACATACCATTGTTTGTAGACTGCCAGGTAATGTGTGAAAGAGATGCTGTTCTAGCCAATCAGTAGCATTTTCAGATGGATATAAAAATGGATGTGAGTACAAAGTTGATATCCTTATGGATTACTTGATTTCTTTGGAAAAAATACTTCAACTTCTGATATGTTTCCTGAACTTCAAACATGTTATTTAAGTCTGTACATAGACCATGTTCGTTGTAAGCAAAAATGATGAGAGAAAAACTAAAAAAAAAAGGAGGGGGATGAAAAAGCAAGTAAATGTAAAGAATGTAACAATAATGTAACTGACAGTGATACTACATATAGAGCAAACTTTCATTTCTTCTCCTCTTTGCAGAATGTTAAGTAGTAGTAGGGTGACTACATTTTGATGGCAACTAAAATATGCTTAAGTCTTACTAATTTTCTAATGCAGAATTTTAAATTTTTGCTCTAAGTTGGGTAGTGTTGCTGTTAACACAGGATTCCATTGTAATGAAATAATCAGTCCTATTTTGTGTAAGAGGTGGAGCGTTTCTTGTTCAAATTCTGAATTTCAGCAGGTTCCTGCAAGGCTAGCTTTGGACAGAGCAGAAAAACATACTACAGTGCTTTATACCCAGTAGTACGTAAACCAAGGTCCTGAAGGGATTACGGTCAGATATGGATAGGCAAAACATGTAATGTCTCACATTGTAGTCACAAGGTAGCTCTGGATAAGAAAATGTCATTCATGAGGCAATGCTGTGTAGCTTTTCAGTGAAATAATTTCTTAATGCATTAAGTTTCACTCAATTTGCTGCTTTTCTGCAAGTGTCTTTGTTCAGACAAAAATAATTGTCTCCATTTGCCATGTCTGAGTGAATATATAGCATCCTTCCAGTACCTAAAGACAGGTGACAGGAGAGGTGGATAGGGAGCTTTTACAAGGCCATGTAGTGATAGGACAAGGGGTAATGGATTCAAACTGGAAGAGGGCAGGTTTAGATTAGATATTAGGAATTCTTTACTGTGAGGGTGATGAGGCACTGGAACAGGTTGCCCAGAGAAGTTGTGGATGTATCATCCCTGGAAGTGTTCAAGACCGGTTGGATGGGGCTTTGAAAGTCTAATGGAAGGTGTCTCTGCCCGCTGTCAGGGTTGTTGGAACTAGCTGATATTTAAGGATCTTTCCAAGCCAAACCATTTTATGATACGTTCAAATCATGAATTCAGCACTGTTATGTGAATTCATGCAATTCACCTTTGTGTCAGGAGCTATGACAGTGATATTGCTCAACAGAAAACTTAAATTATGGCATGCAAGACCATTGCCTAATGTTCAATATCATTAAATAAAAGACTATACCACGCAGCAAAGTTGCTCAACAAATGATGCTATGCAATAGCATTACACAATAATTCATACTGAAACACTACTACACAGCAAAATTACACAACAAAATGTGAAGAAATTTTATTCCCACTACGACTCCTACACTTATTCTCTCCAGTTCCCACTTCCATTTTTTATTGGACACCCATCTGTCTTTAGCCCTGTTCTTAGTATTCAGCAGGATTGTCCTGCCAGCAGGTGTTTTCTCCTGCTGCCTCAGACTCCTGTGATGAGACTTGTGTAGAACTGTGCCAGAATGTCCCACTGAGTTTTGTGCTGCTTTATTTTTGCACATTAAGGATTTGATCTTTTTCCTCCCCTGCTCTGTACTATTTAAAAGCAACTGACCTTTTCTGAGACTAAAAAGAACCCCAAAAGGGTTCTTTATGATGAGCCTAACTGGATTTTGTTTGAATGATGTCACAGGTTTTTTTTCAGCATTAAGCATGCTGTCTAAAGCAGTTTTGTTTGTGGGTTTGGTTTTTTGGAGGTTTTTTTTAGATCTTGCATTTGGGAATAATATTAGTGTTCTGTGCCATTTTCCCCATATATATTATCAAGTACATTTTCAGCCTTACATTAATGTTTTTGCTTGTTCATTTGTTGAAAAATTATTTTTTTTTCTCTCCTTACTTGACTGTGTCTAAAAATCTATTGTAGCTGTATATTCACCTAGGAGGCTGAAGGATATAATTTAGGAAGCCATAAACTTCAAGGGGAGATACAAAGGTAAAAAACATGGTCTTGGTAGTCATCGGAAGAAAAAAAAAGGTGGTCAGAAGAATAGTTACTATCAGGAAGGATGATCTAGGAATTCCATGCCCTTATTTCTGTAAGGGCATGGGACTGGTTCCATGTAATAGCTAGGGCAGGGCTTCCTTCTTTCTCTCAGCTCGAGTAGCTGGTTGAGGTGAGATCTGCCAGGAAGGATTTAGGATATGATTAGATGACTGAGCAAGTGACTTTCAGGGAGGTTCCAGGCTGTGTCCAGGGGAACTATTAAGATAATAACTCAGGACACAATCCAGGAAAGAAGAATGTGGAAATTTCAAAACTTGGGTGAAGAGACCACTGACAGTTGGGAAGGGGGAATAGGAGACTGTGGCTTGAAAAGGAGATTTGTGAAACGCTGTACAAAAAGATTTATTTAGAGGAACTAGTTAATTTGAATGTATTGAGCTAAAGAGCAGAAGGCTTTACTGACTTTGGGTGAGAATGATTGTTCTTGGAGCTCAGAGTTTAAGGAGGCAGGGCCATCCCGGGCCAGCTGGGACTACTTTGGAACAGCAACTATTTACAGCTGTTGCAGTTAATAAGATTACAGACTTTTTCCGTCAGTAGGAAAGGAGAGAGGAGAAAGATGCAAACTTTCACTTTAGTGGTAGGATAGTCTTCTATGTAGCATCTTGTTCAGGAACAATATCAGTTGTAGTTTTTATCAGTTGGGTCAGGAGCATACCACAGTGAGGACGGAAAACATGGGAAATTTACAGCTGCTTGCCTGAAGAGTGAATCAGTGGAACAGCTTTCATGGGAATACAGATTGCCATAAAAACTTTTGCCAGGAAGATCTGGCAAGAATGCCCAAGAAGTTCAGGTTCATTTTCTTTTTCAGTCCAGGGAACAGAACTGCAACAAAACTTGTTTCTTCTTCCCTCATTCATTTCCCCATGGAGAAACCAGCTATGGCCAAAGGATCCTGAATGTTTATGCTTCAGGAAAGCTCATTGGGGTGGTTAGCAGAACACTCTGAGTGCAAGTAGTCCCTTGTATTTGAGGATTTGTGCCAAAGCTGGAGGCAAGTAGAATCCCAGTGAAAGTTCCTCAGAAAGTGATGATGGGGGAGAGAGAATGGTGAGATGAAGGTACAAGAAGCCTATTTCACAGAAACAAAGCAGAATGTGTTCCTAAGCTTTTGGATGGATGGCTGAGCATTAGACTTGGTGATTTGGAATGGTGACTTGGTGATTTTTGATACTTGTCTTGCAGATACAATTTTCTTGGGAAAAATTTCTCAAGGGAACAGTTTTTTCCATCTGTGACCGTGACGGGGTAAAACACAAGGATTAGACAGGAACACACCAAAACCAGGAGAAGCAGTGTAAATGGGCTTGGCTGCCTTGTGGCATAAACACAAAGAAAAAAACCTGTGGCATAACCAGCACTCAGAGAAATTGATTACAGAAGTAAAGAATGTTAAAGACTAGATCATATGAGTCTGCTTTCAACCAAACTGAGCAATAGGAGCATCCCAGTTTATTTGGTTTGTTTCAGATTTAATTGCTTGTCAGTGGAGGGAGGTGATGAAAAAATTATTTATTAGTGACGAAAAAACA